TTGCTTACAGGTCCCAGCGGGTTACAACAACATCAACAACCTTGTGAGCCATCCAGTATGTAAATTTTCGAAAAAAATCTAAGACAAGTAAACTACTCCATTTTTTTTCTTCACTATTTGCTCAATAATGAAAGAGCCCCGCGGAAAAAAACAAAACTCTGCACTTTTGGCCTGATGAATTAAACTTTTAGTTCGATTTCCTCTATCTTTTCTTCGGTGTAAGATTGTGAGCTATTTGAAGCTTTAAAGATTTTGATTAAAACTCATTTTGTAATATTCGTAACGCATTTTGAGAGGATATCTTTAGATCGGCAGCCAGTATGCTTCTACTAAGGCGAACTGTAGTTACCGATATTGCGAACTTTCTATGACAATCACAGTTTTACAATTCTGTCGGTATCATTATAGTGGGCTATAAAAAATCATTCGGACTGGTGCCGCAGAGACTTTGTTTATATAAGTGTTTTTTATATTGGTAATTATGAAAAAAAATTACAACTTTCGGACATACTCAGCATATTCTTTTATGACTTTAAAAGAATTTGAAGTAGTTCTGTGTTAGATATACTCGTACATCATGGTTATCAAGTTCTTAGTTCATGACAAACGTAAATGTCGAAGAGATTGAAATTTTTTCTATATTTCATTATTATTATTATATTCCTATATGATAATTACCTCTAAAAATACTAAAGTAATGGATTTAGAAACAAAGACGTGAAAAAGTGACACTAGTAAATGATGTAAAACCCATAATCCTCATAAGTTAGGCTGTATATTTAGTGTTAAGCACCTGTTTTTCGGTACGTAACATGGTGGGACAAGAAATTAAGCAGCCTATATGGGGTTCGCTGAACATATTTCATGCGAACTATGTACTCAAAATCATATAGATATAAATTCCATAAATTCTAGTTACTTAAATACCACTAGTGGCAAATACACCTAATTTAGACCAATATGTAGCGTTGCGATATTCTATAACACTAGAGATATACTTATTTCCTTTAAAGTCATTTGATATCTAAATAATTCTAAAATTTATATACATTGATATTCGATATATTCGTTAAAGGAAAAAGGTACACAAGATATTTTTATCAAAGTTGGACAGTGCTATAAATCGCTTTTGACGTTTTCTTTTTTCTTTTAAGTAGCAGCTCTTGCAAATTCCAGAACAGCGGGCAAAAGTTGTAGTCTTGTAATGTGTCTACCAATTAGAGGCACTAATGATTAGTGTTAAATAATTACTTCTGTTATACTCGTATTCCACTATATCTAGACACATTTAGTCGTTTTAGATCTAATCTAGCTTTGACTAAAATTTGAGTGAACAGCTCTTGTTATAGCGCACATATCCATAGTATAGTTTTATAAAATTAATGGAATATTCTTTACGAGAAATGTTTTAAAATTTAGTTTAAATTGACACATAATGCAAGTCTTTAATATAAATGAAAGAAAAGTCTACCATATTGCGAGAACACATCTTCACAAATTCGGATAATATTTATACAATCGGGTATCTCACATATTAAAGTTCCTAGAATCGAGAGCCAGTCATCAAGTTCGACGACCAATTGGCATTCAACACTCACAAATAGGACAACACAATTAGATTTCTTTGGACTATAACAACAGCAACATGTTCAACATGTTTTATATTATCAAGGTGAATTGATAGATTGTGCTAGATCACCCGATGATCAACTCTAAAATAATCTTTTGGGATATTGATTGAAACTCAAACTATTTGTGATTAGAAGAGTTTACAATTATTCGCTGTTATTGATAACGTTTATTTGATGAATAACAATAACTTCAATAACAATATAAACCAAATTGGCAGTTTAATAACGTATATAAATTAGTTCTAAATTATTAATTTGGAATTTACTTACTCTAGGTGGTCCAATAATCATGCCAATCCAATATGTTAAGGTCATATCGTCATCATTTTCAAGGCCCCAAGATATAGTGCCATCGCCAACGCCTTTTTGACCTTGATCTAGTTCTTCCAGTAAACGGAAATTACGTGGAACCACTAAAGAAAATAATTTAATTAGTCTAAATATATGAAAACATATTTTACGATATTTTATTGATAAAGAATCAGAATATGATTGTTTTTAAGGACGTGTGCAAGTTAGGCTAAGTTGCGTTCTAAATGAGGGAAATTCTAAGTTGTGCCGATAATATAGTAATGTGTCGGTACGTGTTGATGAATGACTAAATGTGTGCAGTGTAAAAAATCCCAAAAAATCTCCCTTTTGGTTTAGCATCAACTTAGCCTAACTCGCACTCGACCTAAATTAAATAAATAACACAAAATGTAAACTAATAAATATTCGATTGTAGTGGTTAAGTTGCAAACAAACAAAAATGGTAAATCAATAATTGAAGACCTTTAAAATATTCTATTGTACTAGTGTACGAGCGGCAAATTTAGAAAGGCATTTAAACCATCCATTTCCTTTTGACTGCAGCTCTACCACCTAATGATGTTGCTTATCTGCTTCTATGTCCTAATGCATACATCAATTGAAATCCTATTGAGATTTGGCTCTGTCCCATCTTAACTTAAGATAGCTTTAATTAAAGTCTCACCCTTTAATGTACACTTGTGCCCAAAGAATCCCTGACCCTTTCACGCTTACCGCAGCTAACCATATTCTAACCCATGTATCGTGTTTGTAATTCATTTTATGTTATGTCATATAAATTACCATGGTCTACTAGTACAACTACTATAACCATCCAACTACAGTTTATGAAAAATTGTTTTTTTTTCTAAATTAAAATGATACAACTATTTTGCTCTGCAAATTAGTTATAGTTTCAGAAAAATCCCACTCTTCGCAATACTGTCTCTTCATAGCCAATTGTATGTACAAAATCTTATTGCTCACTTTCATCTTTATAAACCCAAATTTTACGTCATCTATGGAAGTTAAATTAAAATGTACTAGATCCGTTCGCCTATGACTGCTATAAAACCAAGGACAACCAAATACTTTAGTAGTAGAAATAAGGTCCTAACACCATTCATAAAAAAATTAATTTAATTCGTTTTTAGTTAGTTTATAATGCAGCTACTGATATGAGTTATCTAACACATTAGATTAATAGATATTCCGATTGGGTTTCGAGACCGGCTGGGTCTACGTCATATGGCCACTTTTCGAGTTTGACGACCAAATGCCGTGCAACATTTCAAAAAGGTACTGTACCAGAAGGTATAAGTTGAGCTTTAGTTCATTTCATATTATCTGCTCGATAAATATCCGCGGGTCAACACAACACAACAACAGATACTCTGTTTAAATACAGACGAGCTCGAATTTTATTATAAGATGATTTTTATAATTATTGTTTTAAAAACACGTGATGTGGGATTTAATTAAAAACGTCAGAAAATTTTGTGAATTCAGAATACATTCTAAGTTACAATATCTGAGGAAATGTTTTTGGTATTTTATTTATATAGTGAAAGAATTTTGTTTATTATATTAAGAACCTAAACCCAGTAAAATACTTTTAAATTTTATTAGCAAATAGTTAACCGAATAATTTTTTGAAAGTCATAATATAACATAATACTCTATTTGAAATACCTCCGAAGAAGTGCAGATCCTTTTATATTAAACCATCATGCAAAGTACTTTCTATATGTTTCTGAACTAAGTCCAACGTTTTATTATAATTTTCTTAAAGATTAAATCATATCTCATATAGTTGAAAGCACATAGGTCAAACTCGTGTGAATATTAAAGTATATACATATATACAAAGCCACCCAGTATTGATGAGTCGAGTTGAGTGGTGTCTGACAATAAAATAGCTGCAATCACGATGACTAATAACTTTAATTGAGGAATGTATGAAATGGGTGGTGTCAGGTGGTGCAGTATCAAGAAGGACACTGCATAGGAATGGGAGCACAAGTGAAACAATAGTAATAAATATGATTCCTTTATTTTGCCTGCTAATTAAGCAATAAGTTTCCAAACCGGGCGCGGCACAATAGGAATTTGTAGGTTTTCGGCAACTCAGCATGCAATTAAGAAATGTATCTTAAAACGCGTGAGGGGTTCGTAGAAGTCAATCAAAAATAAGTGAACTAGCACTTAGGTCTTATTTTCTTTTGATTTTTTTTTTTTTTTTGTTAACTAAACCTAACCATTGGCAACACAACAAACCGGACAAGTAGCATACAAAAGGGTGAGTAAAAGTCAAAAAAAGAGAGCATAAAGAACTTTTTGTCAAGTCATTTGATGAAGTGAACCGAAATTTTTATACAATTATTTTTCAACATAATGTTAAAATTAGTTTTGAAAACTTTTTATCATTTATAAGTTTAAAGTTATTTTTCACACAGCACCGCCTTTTTTTCGCACATTAATTTTTTTTCTTCTTTTTACATATTCAGACTTCACACTTTCACGTTTTGCACATAGTTCGGCAAAGCAAGTCTTTTTTGGCGATATTTTGTTTAATATTTATATATTTTTATATATGCATTTAACGCAATTTATTAGAAATTTTTTCTGATAATAATACTATGTATGATTTACAATATATTTACACAAATTTATTAATTTTTTTAACAAAAAATTCTTACCAACACCGGTGCTTGATGGATTCGCCATTGTAATTATTGCTATTTTTGTTCCTCTTTACGCTCTTTAATTTCGAAGCTCAACGTATGACTTGACTTATTACAGCATATGTTGTACTCCCTCTAACTCATGCGTTCGCGTTATAACTGCGAATATGAGCTATTTCGTCACACCAAATGTCACTTTTATGTTCTCAATACTGGGAATTGCAGCATAAAATACTTCGATTTTTCTAATAAAATTTATTTAAAATTATTTATATATATTGAGAATTACTTATGAGTGCACTTTAATGAAATTCGACTTTTCCTTTTTGCTCATTCAACAGCGACACTATATGTTAAATTGCTCCTGACATATAGATAATTTAATTAAATTTTAAGCTGCAAAATGTTGTACGATTAAATTTGTCTTTGACGGTTCGATTACTCACAAATTGCGAAAATTCATAATTGGCGTTTAAAATGTCAAAATGTTGGGCGAAATCAATTTGATGATGCCACATATTTTATTATTTACATTAATGGTAAATCAGTAAATTGTAGAAAAAATTTGAAGTTAAACACAATTAGGCTCTGTGCGAGTTCAAGTAAATTGAAGTTAAGTAAATTTTAATTTCCTTGGAAATTTTTGTATTCCACTTACGTAAATATTTATTTATTGCACTTATATATTATATTTGGTTAAATGTTTTCAAATTTATTTATTTATTTATTAAACAATTTATAAAA